ATTTTCTTAGAAAAATATATTTTTTTAAATCCTCTGTTATTGCTCTTTCCAGTATTGATTGGGGGCTCCTTTAAGCTTTGTTTGAAATAATATGGTAGGTCAGCATCTTGATTGTCATTATTCTCTTTTCAAGTTACATCTGATATACATTTTAGTTGTCGCCACTGTTGAAAGTCCTCAAGTGATGTGGTGTCTGTTATTTGGTACAGTTTTTGTGATTCTATAGTGAACACATATACCTATATAAGATTAACTGTAAAAGAAAACTTTTTATAATAGAAGCCGTAACCATAAAACCCAAAACTAAAAAATCTCCAATAATAAAACTGCAGTTTTAAATGTATTTAGCAACTAATGTTACAGTTAACTGATAAAGAATCTCACTTGCCAATCTCCTGTCTGTGACATTGCCATAAAGTTTAATTAGGTACCTCCACGAGATCAATAAAAAAAGAGCATAGCATGATGAAAAAGACGCCAAACTTGACGAAAACAAAATTTTATTGTCTTTAAGCTGATATGAGGCTTTGCATTGTCATGTTATAAAAGCATATCACTTATTGTCAAAAGATGTCCAGCCCAAAGAAGCCTTGTTCTGAGTTTATTAAGAGGAAAGATCAAAGTATTTTTGGGGTATTTTTTTTTACATTTTTTAATCGTTCTTAGCACATCCAAAATTTTCATGAAAAATCTTGTTTTTTTTTTTGTTTCAGCAAAATTGGCAGATAATCAATCATGGCAACCATTTTTTTCCATTTTATAAAAAAAATGAAAATGTCAGTTTGAAATTCTTTTAAAAATAAGTTATCATTTTTTCAAAACTTATTTTAAGAAAATCAGAAATTATAATGTTTATTTAAAATATTTTGATCCAAGCTTAACTTAGCTTCTGCACCGAAAAGATGTAATTTGAAAATAAAACAAAGCAGGTCATAAACTTTCGTGTCACTTGACAGGTGATGAATGACATATTGACAGATTACATGAGGATAATTCCTTCTATGGGAGGAGAGAAATGAAGTTATTTACATTTAAGTGAACAAATTATTTACCTCATTATTTTTAAGGAAAACTTTTAGCACTCTAATTTTTTTTTTTTTTGTACTTAGCTTTCACCTTTACGTTTACGATGCTTTATGGAAAATATATTATAAAAAAATTAAAATAAGACTGTTAAGAGTGAGATTAAATTTCATAAGAAAGGTATCTAATTAATTTATAGGTACCTTTCTTATGAAATTTTATCAGAAGTGTACATAAAATACTATAATTTTATGTACATTTACTACATTTTACTGTGTTTTTTGTATTTCTATTCATTTTATTATTAATTTTGATATTTCATTTATGGAAAAATGTCATAACTGAGATTAATATAAAAATAAGATCATATAAATTTCATATGATACTGATACTTGTAGATATCTTTCTCAGTTGAAATTGAAAAATCAAATTAACTTCTCCACATGTGTTTTGCAAAAGTAAAGCCTTAACAATGCTTAACTCAAATAACTCAACTTAATTGTATTCTGGTTGGTCTTCCATACTTTATAATTACAGCCCAATTATAAACACAAAATTACATTTCTTAATTACTGTGGGTCTTCTGATTAGTCAAAACAATACAATTTACAACGCACTAAAAAAAAAATCTATCTCATAAGGACACTTATGAAAACTGATGCAGCTTTTAACTAATTTTATAATATCTTAACAACTTAAATGTAAAAATCTATTATAATTAAAGAAATAACAAATAATTGTATTAAAAATTCATTTTTCATCAAAAAAATTTTTTGCTTTCAGAAAACATTGTCCCTATTCATAAAAACAACTAAAAGCAAATAAAAGCATTTGAAATCAAATAATATCTTCATTTTATTGAGTTTTGTATGTTACAATTCAGAGCTGATTTTCAGGTGGGGGTGGCCAATTAAAAACAAAAAAAAAGTCATGATTTGCATTCCTCAAAGCCTTGTGCTTTTAACTATTGTAATCACTAAAGTGGACTCTATCAAATTTCTAGAGTAAAATTAGTTGGTGGTGGGTAATGAATATAAAAAAAATATATTTCTGCCATGACTTTAATAAAGAGTAACATATTTATAATAATATTGATCATCTGTAAATAGTTGCTGAAAGTTTCATTAACATCACATGATTATTTTTATTTTTGCAAGATTTTCCAAATTAATGTGTGTCCTACCAAAAACATGCTAAAAATTGTCTATTTTACTAGTTCTGGTGATATAAAGAGAAACAAGGTTTTTTTCATCAAAATTTAGAATGTTCTAAAAAGAAGGAAAAATTTTTTTTAAATAATTAAAATAAACTTTGGTCTTTCCTCTTCATAAAAACATAAAAATTTAGACAATAAAATTTTGTTTTTGTCAAGTTTGGCATCTTTTTCATCATGCTATGCTCTTTTTTTTTTTTTTTTTTTTTTTTTTTTTTAAAGCAATCTCGTGGAGGTACCGAAGTTTAATTCTTATGTTGAGTTTTGAAAGCATTTGAATTTGAAGAAAATGTTATATCTACAATTCACCAGAGGTTGAAAATGGCAAGAAACATGGCTGAAAGCACTTGATTCTAAAGATTTTGAGTTTTGGATAGACAGGCCAGGAAAACTTCACCTGGGACATGCTTATTCCAACCTATCTTTTACTAAATATTCAGGAAATTTCTTCCAACCCCTTAATTTAAGCTATAAGTTTTCTGAGTGTTGTTGTCCTCTTCTTGAAAAACAGTCTGCCTGCCTTATGTGAATGGGTTATCAGAGAAAATACAAAGGATCTGCGGTCCATATAACATCAGGACAACTTTCAAAAGCTTGACGACACTTCACAGATATCTCTCCCAAGTAAGACTCCCCCCACCATAGAGGAGAACACGACTAAAGACTGTGTGTACGCTGTCCCGTGCAGCTGTGGAAAGAAATATAAAGGGGAGACAGGGCGCCCCCTTAAGGTAAGGCTTCAAGAACACCAGAAAGCTGTAACATGAGGGGAAGTAGAAAAATCAGGCGTGGCTGACTACATATGGAGAGAGAAGGGAGATCAAAGAACACCATTGGAGAATTTGTAAACTTAAGGAATCAGCACATATGCTATGCCACAAAAATCTTTTGAGCCAACCAAGCATAGAAATGAATACCATATGGGAACCAGTAATAAGGAGTGCCTGAGAAAATCTATAATAACAACAAAAATTGCAATATGAGCTCTGGTAAAAAAAATGCTTGCTGAAGACATTAAGTTTATAATACCCAGAAATTCATACACGGACACATGGCACAGTGGATAAAGGTGTTAATTAGATCCAGTGACAGGATCCAGAGAGTGTGAGTTCAATACCTGGCTAAGGCAGTGGAGAACTTTCAGATAACTGACATCCATTGATCATAGAACAGTCTACCCCAGTGAGTGAAATAAAGGGTTCAGTTCAACATTCCAACCACCTGAAGAAGTGTACAATGGCCAAAACATAATAAATATAGTGACAAAGATGAGGACAATAGTCCGAATAATGTAAATAATGTACATAATACCTCATCTCAGAAATATAGACAGATATTTCATTTGAATATTTAATAAAAGGGGTGATCAGAATAAGGATGTCCTGGATGGATTTTTCTCCAGAAAAGAATGATTGTCCCAACCTATTTATTTGAAACTCATAGATAGACTCATTGGATCTAAACATACACAATTTTGAATAAGAAAATTTAACTAAATTTAAAAGAAAAAACATTCTTGTCCATTGTTTTTAATAAAATATATATCAATATATTAAGTCATATAAATTTGTTATATAAATAGTATTTATTTATATAAGTACTTAAATGCTGACACAATTGATTTAGCTTTATTAACAATAACATTGTTGAGTTCTTTGTAAATACTTAAATATGTAATACATATACATGCAGAAATTTGACATATTTGTACAAATGATCTCATTACATTGATGCCCAATTTGAGAATTGACAAATATTAATCTCATTTGTTTTCTTTGTTCAGCACCAAGTGGCAGATAATTTATCTACAGAATCTTTTCCATTATAAAACCTTTTAATTATTCCATTTCCAATTTTTTTCATTGTTCCATTTTTTTCAGGATTTTATTTTTTTTTCCACTGTAAGCACATTTATTTTTTACTTGTAATATTTTTTCTTTACTCACTCTCACATACAAAATCCATCTACCTGAAACTGTTTATTTAGAATTGAAGAGTCATTTCAGTATGACATATCAATTAGTTTTTAATGCAAAAAACAAAACCTTTTTTACCCAAATACTGTATTTATAGGCTTACAATATTTATGGTTTACAAGTGTATTTGAAGAAATAGCATTCACTGCAACTTGTCCAAGCCCAGCACTGTATATTTTGTGCTTCAATAGATGGCCCTGTAGTCATAGTAGCAGTATATTAGCCACAGGGAATATTTGAATAGTTTTTTATGTCTTATATACCAGCAACCACAGTGTGTTTTTTTTTTCTTCACCATCCATTTTTTTAATTAATAAGTTTAATATACTTTGCTTTATTATATTGGGTTGACCAAAAAGTTTGTTTGGTTATTAAGTAGAAAATTTAATAAACCAAACAAACTTTGTGGCAAACCCAATACATTACTTTTAAATGGGGCTAAAATAGAAACTAAAAACTGTATACATAAAATTAACAACTATAGGCCAATAATTTTAGCTAATTATTAAAATAAAATATATATAGAAAAAAAGCAAAGAAAAAAAGTTTGCTTAAAAAGAAAATTGAGAACTCATTGTATGGAAAAGTGCAAAAAGTCTTATTTTTTCACTAGCTTCTACTGATTCAGAATTGGCAAATCCTTGTTTTTTATCTAATATAAATTTGTTTATATAATAAATGCACTAAGAATAAGATTCCATTAAAATACAAAAATTGAAACTCTTGTTAAACTTGTATTATTTTAATATTTTTCTCATTTACCTATTATTTTATTTATAAATTTTCAGGTTGGTAAATGCTTTTTCTTATTATGGAATTGTTCTAATGACCACTGAACTTTTTCAATATGGAGGTATTTGTCCTCGTGAGTATCAACTAATTGTTAATAAAATTTTCTTTTTTTATCTGGAAAGTCTTTTCAAACAATAACATCACCTTTGTTATATTTGAATCAAAACTCTTCTTATGGTTATCTTTAAATTTTTTTCTTTTTTTTTTTACTTATGCATTTTCATTGATAATCAAAAATTTAGAAATCATAGAAAATGCGTTGAAATTTCCCAATAAAAACAAATGTTAAACAATGTAAATATTTTAATTGATAAACACAATATGTATTGACCAGTTGGAGCATATCACATGCTTCATGTTGGTTCCTTAATTCAAAAATACAAATATTGTTTTAATCAATACCAAATGTATCAAGAACTTTTATTGTTATTATTATATTACTAATATTACAATATCTTATTAATATTTTATTACACCACTAGGACAATAAAGTTCATTATTGCTATTATTTTAGCATTAGATTTACTCTATCTATATTTACTTGTGAAAATGCATTCTTTGGGTACACTAATGAAAAAAATTGATGAAAAAAGTTTTCAGTTATTTACCTATTCCAATCTATTCATTCTTTTATTATTTATAAAAATAAATATTTTTTGGTTAATTCTTATGCCACTGATATTTTTTCTCAATAATCAAAGAATGATTTGTGTTAATTTTAACAAGTGAAATTTTTAATTTTGTTATCTAGTCTCAAATGATAAAATGGTAGCCAATGCAAACCCAGTGTGTTCTTTGGAATGCAAAATGCTTTCTACAAAGGATTATGTTGATCTCTTATGGACAACATGTGCCGAATTCCCAGGTGAGTCAAATCAACATATTTCTTGTGTGAATGATTTCAAAACTTTTATAAAGAATGACAACATTATAGAGTAGGATAATATGAAGTTTCATTTAATTAACCTGACAGGTAGTAATTAATCTTGAAATAATAATAAATTTAAACATTCAAGAGAAATTAGATATTACAAAGACTTGTATATCATTCTGTTGCAGAAATCTGAAATTTATTATATAAATGTTAAATTTCACATTAACCAAAGTAGGAGTGATCTGAAAGTAAATCATCTCTCTGACTTAATTCCATTGAAACTACAATGCAACCACTTTATTGGATAGAGCAAGTTTTCAACTACAAAAACGCTATTTTCCAACAGTCATTATCATCGACTGTGCATTTTACTAGCAATGGTAATTGGTCTGCATGCTGTACTTGCAAGCAATTAGCAAAGGTAATCAAACTTTATATTCCTATGTTGACATCATTTCCAATGATAATGACCTTCTGCTTCAGACACTGTTCTCTGGTCATAATCTGTTGATTTACATGGATGAGCTGATTGAGGTGCTTTTCATTTGTGGGTTGACAGGGCTGCCTAGAATATGACTTGTCACTGTTGCTCCTGCTGAAACATCTTACCCACCACCTAACTGTGCTTACACCCTCTGTTTGGTTTCTGTAAATGTTCAAGTGTCAAAGAATATCAGTTTGTGCAAGTTTTGCCCCATGGAGGAATTTAATGATACTCTCTACTTCATACACATTTTCATGTCAGATGTTATTTTGCCAGGCTGCTCTCTGTATCAGGTAAAGAAATATTATGGATTATTGTTGAGACGGTGCATCTTCTACTGTTATACCACCAACATCTGCCTTTGTCATTGAAAACCAACATAATAAAATAGAAGGCATTAAATTTGGAGCAACCCTCATATATATACCTTCATATATATTACTTGCCATAAGTATTTAAATACAAACATTTTGCTTTCAATCACTTGATTATGAAAATTAAAAACAGGAACATTATGCAAGATGCAAATTTTATTGTAAGCAACAAGGCAATCTGTGCTCATAAAACATACAAAGTTCAGTAAAAAATTCAATAATTGATTCTTTCTGATTGTCAGGTTTTGTGGTTCTGAACACTTTCTGAATGTTTGGAAATGTTTTTGTTAATTGTTAAATGGAAAAAAATTCCATCCCATAATTTTATTCAGCCAGTCCTTCGAGGCTCTAGCGGTCAATGCAGGCATCCCCCAGGAGTCAATTCTCAGAACAACTCTCTTTTTACATAAATGATTTGCCTAAGAATATACTCCAAACATTTGTAAACATCTATGCCAATGATTCAATGATATACGGGTACACATCTCTAAAACAGTTGACAATCAGAGATTAGAAGCTGATCTCTCTTCTGATCTAACACTAATCATGTCCTTGCTGGAGAAGAATTATTTTCCATCCTCCAACCTCTCTCTCACAGGTGGGATGTGGCAAATCTCTCATTGCTCTATCGCTACTAGCATGGAAAGTTCTTGGATGGACTGCATTCCTTAATTCCGCAAAGTCTAACCTTCATGAATAGGACCTACCATGCTGCTTACATTGTAGTAAACCACCCACATCCCCTCCGTATTCCATTGGCTAGAAGTAAGTTCCACTCAAACAGCTTCTTCCCGTGAACCACTCTCTGTGGAACATACTCCCTCCTATGTATATAAACTACCCCTTACCATAATCCTCTACCATGAGTGGCTCCTGGGACTTGTACAAGATGATCTTTAGTATAAAAAAAATAAATCAATCAATCAAGAAGACTGAATAAGTAAACTTGCTACTTTTTTTAATTTAACTATCATAAACATCATCCTGTTATTTAGCATTTCTAAACAATAAAACATGATTAAATGTTACATTATGTTGATTGCAATAAAAATTGTCCTACCTAATGTCCATGTTTGTAATTCTCAAAACCAAGAAATTAGAAGTGAAATGTGTCTCTTTAGCTACTTGACAACTACAGTATAAACAAAGTGTGTGTTTATGCATATGCATAACTAGAATTCATTATGTAGAGATGAACAAATTACTCATCTCTGTATAATGGACTCTTCAGGTGAGGTAGAAATCAAATTTATTTTCAATAGATATATTTATATATAATCATATTTATTATAATAATTTATTTTATATTTTGATTCTTCTGGTGAGGTAGAAAGCATATTTATTCAATATTGAATCAAATGTTAATTGTATATATTAAATATTTAACATAAACAAGAAAAATAAAAAGCGACAAAGTTTTTGATATTTTATTAATACAATTTTGCTTAAATATTGTCATAACTTTATGGCATGAAAAAAATTAGTGTTAATATATATATAAAAAATATATGATTTTGTTTATTAATTTTTTTTTTAATTTTTATTAATCATTTCACCTCAAGCAAGACAATAAAGTCACTAAGATTCAAGGAGTTACTGAGTGTTAGAGAATATGAGAAAAAGAAAACATTAAGGGGAGAGAGAACAATAAAAGATCAAAAATTAAGAAGACAGAAGATAACAATTGACAAGGCATTTAAATATTTGAAGATTAAAGTTGACTGGAAAGTAAAAAAAATCAGAAGAGAGTTCCACAAATTGATAAATGCAAGAGAAAAACTAGAACTTATGGTTACATTTAGCCATTTCAACTGTAAGATGACGAGATCTTGCCGCCAATCTAGTAGTACACTCAAATTCATAAAGTTTAAGTATCAAAAAGGAAAGGTCGTCAGAACAATTACCATGAAAATATTTATAGAAAAGGTACAGGGAAGCTATGTTACAGTGGCATGAAAATGACTAAAGCTGAGATACCAGGTTAGTACCAATGTTGCACAACTTGGTCTCTCTACATAATCAAAAAATTTTTACATTGTTATGGTAACAAGACATTAGTACTCAAAACCAACATACCTCACGTTGCCATACAAACAAAATATTCCATTACTATGTAATAAAACTATGTTGATAATACATTACATTTTATTTCATGTTAGCCTTCTTTGAATATTCTTACATTTAATGATTTAAAAAGCAGAATTCTTTCTTTATGATTGTCACATCTCAGCAGAAAGTTATAATCAAGGAAAGTAACCTTAAATTACTTATTGAAATATTTGGCATTAAATAGAATCCTGGATTGTAACATGACATGAATAGAGTTAATAGTTATACATATTCAACTTCAAGTCAAACAAATCTATCTCTGATGTTAAACTCACCAGCAACCAGATATGAACACCATGATTACATCAAAATTACAAATAAAATATTAGCTCTATGCACCAGTTTCAATTCACAAAGCAAAATATACTTTTAAAATTTAAAGTAATCATTAAATCACCAGTATTGCTGTCAAAATGCAAGAGCCAAATGCCATGTTTGAGCCTCAGACACCAGATATAAGGTCGGACAAATCCTCAGCAATAGGCAGTTGTTCACATTTTCACATAGAGGTTCATTGTGTTGTCATTCTCTTTCTGCTCAATAGTATACTGGGCACAGACATCAAAGAACTTAAGCACAGCCACAAACATCTGTCAGACCCCACCCCATACACACATTTCAACAGAGATTTCCTCAGCCACTTTTATTTTTACTTAACTGTTCATAGTTTCAGCAATATAATCAATTTTATTTTAAATTTCATCTTTTTTTTCTCTTCTAGCCAACAAGGCCTTTTTTTGCAACCATGTGTGTCTGTTTCCCTTGCTACCATCATCATCACCCACATAACTTTCTGATTACAATGACCACTTGACAAAGCTCATTATAATCTACAGCTTGACTATCCATTTTAATATGACACTCAGTATAATATTGGTAGTAGATCCAACATAATAACTGACATGATCCCTAAGAATTTTCATTGCAATATCATCATAATATATATTGTCATATATAAATCACAATGTGTATACATATACCTATTTCTATTTTATATGTATAACACTTTTCTATATTAGACATTCTCATCATTACTCTTCTGATGACAGAAATCATAATTAGGATGTGGTGACCAGAATGTTATTTGTTTAGTTTAATATTCAGAAGCACTGAACATAAGAAAATACAAGAGATGTGTTTTGTATAATACAATTACAAAATTGAGTATTGTTCATTTTTTTAACATCATTAGTAAACTTTACTAATGATGTTAAAAAATGTATATATATTTTATTACTTTACTAAGTAATAATATATATCTATCTTTCTTAATTGATAACAGATTAACAGAACTGATCAATGTTATATATGGTTAATTTTTCCCATCTTCAGAAATAGTCATTGTTTTTTATGAATTCTTTTGTGACTATCAATATATTTCCTTTATAGTCTGATAGTTTTAGTTGAGGTGTCACTAGCAGCAGTAAAGGCTTTATATATCCAATGCATACATTAGATATATTTTCCAGGATAAATATTTTTTTTTTGTAATAAAAAAAATGAATTATTGATAAATTTTACTATCTTCTTTGCACATGATAAATTTTTTTAAATCTCCCATTCCTTCATTTCTTAGAATAAATTGTGTAATAGAATAATGTAAGTAGAGAAGATCTTTCTATTTGCATGTCACTCCCACACCAGACCAATGCACAGGCACACAGAACATAGAAGAATTGAGTGAAAGAAGGTTGACAAGTTAAAATTGAGGGAGTGGAAAAGAAAAAAATAGTGGGGTTCAGTACTGTTCTGATCACCTCATGATGGAAAACACCAAAACTTTAATGTTCTTCTATAATTTTGAGTTGAAATGACTGAAAATTTTCAATTTTATTTAAAAGAATAAAAAGTCACCTTTTTGACAAGAGTTGGATGATTTCTTAAACATTGAAATTAAAATTCTAGCAAAAATGAAATAATCATTAAATTAAAATCATTTTATGAAAATTAGTACCTTTCATCATTATTCTTTTACATTGCAAAAATCACGCTTCTGCTTAAAAAAATTTTTTAATGATTACTGGATATAATCAGTTGTGACATTGTTTTATTTTAGTTTATCTTCATAATGTTTCATTTTTTTTTTTTTTTAATATTTTAGCATTTGAATTTTTATTCAAAAGATTATTCTGACATTTTAAATGCTTCATATTTTCAATTTTAAATTTAACAAGAAATTTTATATTGATTCCCAAAAATTAATAAAAAAAAAAAAACAATGAGCCAAGTAAGAAATATATTTAAAATTATTTTTTTTTAAAGTTCTATAATGAACTTTTTTCATTATTGTATATTTTTTGCAATCTCTCAGGCCATATATGTTGTCTTTTGGCATTATGAGTAATAAAGTCTATTGTATTATCCTGACAGTTATTGAGTGGGTAGTAATGGTTATGTCTTCAATTATTCTAGAGGCTATTTAGTAGAAATAATTGTGGATCCAAATGCAGTTATTTGTAACTATAGCTATTTTATAATATTGTTTTTTTTTAAGCTTTTTATTCCTTATTTATTATTAGAATTATAAACTCTATTTTATTTGATGAATAATGATTTTTTAAAAGAATTCTTTTCATTTGTTAAAAATTTGAATTATAATAATTTATAAGTTTTAAATCTTTTAAAATTTTGCATTAATTCATGTGGGTTAGATGATATCGTTATTAAGTAAAAACTATATTTACTAATCCTAAATAGAAAAGCTTACTGCAATTCAGTGACTCCCCAGTATTTTAAAAATAATTAAAAAATTTTTTTGTGTGTATAAATGTACTGATTTTTTGTAAATATGGACATCTATACAGGATATTGTCAGAAAATCAGAGCGGTAACTATAGTAAATTTAAAGCCAAAGTACCTAAAATTCAATAAAACATTAGATTACTGTTAAAAAAAATATAGCAAAAAGGTGCTCATGTTATATTCATCAAGTAATTTTTCCAGATATGTACAGCATAGAAAAACTAAATTTCTCAAACATCAGGCTGTCAATATAGCTGTCAAAACCTTATAAAAACACCCACCTCCATGTTAAAAAAATTGCTTTTCAGCAATATTTAAAAGTAATATTTAATTTAAATCTTCATCAAAGTTTCAGAAAAGTATATTTCATTTTTAAAAGATTTTTTAATAACAAGAATTATGCTGTGCTGAGTGAATTGTATATATGGCTAAAATCAGCATTTGTTTTTGTTTGTTTTTTTTTAACAATAACAAAAACACATTCCAATCCATTTAAATTCATTTTGAAATACAACAAAGTATTTAGCTTATTGCAAATATTAAATTTAATCTTATAGCTAAGAATTAAGATAAAAGAAGTTTCAAGAAATATTTTTCAGATTTAAAAATTCATTTTAAATTTTAGTTATCACTTTCCTATGAAGGTACCTTACCTACCTTAGAACTATATTTTTATCATATTGTATAATTACTTTCCATTCACAACTTTATTTACCTCTCCTTATTTAAATATTAACCTAGAAGCCACCCTTGAGTCAGACTTTAGGCTAGTTCCTGCAGAGGGCTTTTGGGCTTTCGGCCTTTTTTCTTCAGCATTTTATGTACGTAAAAGTTATAAGAATTTAGAAATAATAAAATTATTTTATCCTTATTCGAAATAATCTTTCTTTGTCTATGCAACCAATCTCCATAGTTTGTTTACATTTATTTTGCGCACAAATTTTCTTTTCTTTTAAAATCAGCATTCTTTATGATCCCTTCACATAAATGTCACTCTTAAAAGATATTAGAGAACCTGAACTATGAAATATTTTGAATACATCACAGTATGTGTGCTATAAAAAGAAAAAAACATGAGCAATGTACTGTGCCCCACTTAAGTTTCACGGTTTAATAATTGCATTTGTGATGAAAAGGGAAATTAAAGTTAAACATTTAGTAAAGAGTCCATTTAAGCCTTTCACTCTGTTCAATATTTAAATTTAGCTTTAAATGAATTAATTTTTAATTATGTGTAACTAAAGTAGTTACTGCCTGTTATTTCAGGTTGTTTATGATTTCAGTTGAAGTATATACACAGATGGTTTCAATTGTCTGAACAATATATTGAATATATATTATTGCTTCTTCTCAGAGTTATTGACACTAACAGATATAGTTCTTTGACTTTTTTACCCTCTTGTCTTAAATAAAAGAGAAAAAATAATATTAGATAATCTTGTATTCACAAAGTAAAACAGTATTCTGTAGTTTAAATGTACCATAAAAAATGAGGGCAATATTTAATTTTGTAGTTGCATTACTTGTATGAGTAATCTAGAATGTTTATCGATACAATTAAGTCTATTGTTGCATATAAGAAAGAATTTTACTTTTAAATCATTAAAAGTAAAAATATCCAAAGAAAGATAACATGAAACACAAAATAAAAAAGTATTAGCAACCTGATCTCCCCTACTTAATAAGATAGTCCATTATTATGTTAAACTGATGTTCACTTACTGATGTTGCATAATGTCTCCTGTTACCATATATTTCATTTCCTCAAATGTGGCAGATAAGGATGAGAGGCAATAAAATATATAAAGGCCTATTGAAAAACATAGCCATGCCAAATAATAAATTCTACACAGGCTAAGATTTGGAATATAAAGGGAAAGTTTGTGAATATATTTTCCTATTTATGATATGATTAGTATGTGTTACTGTTAATGAGTTTATAATTTAAAACTGTTACATCAGTGCATAATAAGCATCATTATTCAATACTAATTAATGTATTGTTTATACATGGGAGCAATATGAGTGAGATTATTAACAAATAAAATGACATTTTTGGTGTTAAATCAATTAAAAGAAAGCTGAAACCATTTCTATTACTACAGATCATCATGATTATCATCTCGTGATATTCATTAATAATGTAGACATTCATTTTTTATCATAGTATTACTCTATTAATAATATTTATTATGTCAGTTTTGATAGTTACTCTTGAAGGCAGAAGACAATGTACAATCAGTATATTTGAAAACAGCATGACCAAGTCATCTTTGTCACATGAGAGGAACAAGGAAGGCCAGTCTATGTGAAAGTCTAAATAGTAAAATTACTTTTTGTGAGTTAGTAAAGAGATATGCTATTTCCATGTTTAAAATATTTTTATTTTGTTATCTAATTATTTTTTCTTGCATCTTTTGTCTTGTAGGTTTAATCATTACTGTTTTGGTGATTGACAGAATTGGAAGAAAATACACTATCCTTATTGAATTTTTTATCTTCTCAGTGTTTACCCTGTTCTTGAATATCTGTACTACAAGGTTTGTGAAAATGCATTCACTTTACCAAAACTTATATTGTCTTCCTATTAATTCAAAACCAAGGTTTATCATTTTTTTAATATTACTCAGATCCCATGAATTGTTAATTAAAAAGGCTTACAGTGATGCAATTTTGCTTTCCACCATTTCAATTGTCTGTGGTCAACTTCAGAAATTCAGTTGATAAGCCTTACTTAATAATAGTCATAAACCACAAAAATGATGATGCATATTTGGATATATCAAAGAGAAACTGTAAAATATTTCCTTTAAGTGAAAAGGTAAATGCTCATAATTTAATAAGGAAAAAAATTGTTTTGACTAAAATCTAAAGTAAAAACAAATCCTCTGTCACATAACATTTATTTTGTTATAATTGTTCTATTATTAGTTATTGCTGTTAATATCTAACTGTGCTTAAAATTGATAAATTAAACTTTATTAAAGATCTGCATGTTTGGGGTAAAAAACATGTTATTCAGAATTCTTATGGGGTTGGGGGCTTGAAACATTTAGCCTTCAGATGGGGAAGAGAGTTAATGTAATTTCATTATGTAATTAATTTTGTTCACAAATTTCTTTAGAATTCAATGATTTTTCTTTTTTACAATTTCTGATTTGTTTTCACCTTCTATAACAGCTGTTTTCTACTTTTGTGTATGATAGATTTTCACTCAGTAACATTTTTATACAGACTGTGGCATTTTTTTCCTTGGCGGTAGTGAACTTTTTTTTCAATTCTTACACAATTTATAATATTTTGCTTTTATTCTAGATTTACTAATTGCTATTATTTTTTTTTGACACTAGTAGATTTTGGTATTTGCTTATACTTTCTATACATTCTATTGGATAAATTTTATACTCTATTGCTATTATGAACAGAACCCACCTTCTAAATTGATAACTAACCAATATCTTTCTATTCTGACAAGTGCTGTGGCCTAAGAATGGCTTCAAGAATGTTAATCTAAAAACATTATTTCAAAATACAATTTTCCATATTTTTCATGAGTGGACCAATCTATTTAAGTAGTTCCAATTAGTATACTGAACTTACTCTTTATTTATAAGCTACAACCAATTTAAACATGTATATAACATTCCTTTTTTTTTTTTTCTTTCAGGCCTATTCTTATTGTTCTTCTATTCATAGCAAGAGCTTTTATTTCTGGAGCTTTTCAAGGTGCCTATGTATATACACCAGAGGTAAGAAAAATAATTATTGATATGTAAGAAAATGTTTGGAATAATGCATCACATTACTTTTTATATTTTAAAACTAAAATTATTTAAGCCAGACATGTCCAAAGTCCGGCCCCAGGGCCAATTTCATATGACCTCCATCCTGTGTCATAGACTGTATCACTTACAGCCCACTAGTATTGCCAATCAGAGTATGTAAAGTACACACCTAAGAAATGCAATTTCATGTTTTACCAAAAGATGGCTGTGGCATTGTGTGGCCACCCTCTGGTGGTGTGACCCTGACCTTAGCCTTTTCCAGCCAATTTCTAAAATCACTGCCTTTGAACCAGACATGACTTACATCCTGTAGTCCAGATCTCAGTATCACCCTTCACATTAGTGCAGGCAAGTTATTCATTTTTGTCATCTGAGATGAATAAATTCTAAAATCTTAGTGAATTAAATTTATTTTGTGTTGGTCAAAATCAGTTATAAATATATTTGGACACTTGGACTTGTGTCATTTTGTTTTCTACTTCTTAATAAGTGATGTTATGTTCCTATTCATATGTTTTTAACTTAAAAGTTGACAGACAACATTAATTACCAATAATATGAAATGTTTAAGATTAATCTGAAATATAGCTTCATGAAAGTTTCTTTTTCTCTGACACATTTTACTTCATCTTATATGGGCTTCAGATATGACAGGCTGAGTGATTTTGGTAAGACCTGTTTAAATTTATTTGACATGTGAAGAAATGAAAATATGCCATTTGTAATAAAATTTTCATAAGATAGTTTATTTGCATTTAATCTTAATGGTTCAATGAATATCAAGCAGACTGGTTGGTCCTCATGCATAGTCACCGCATTGAATCTGGCCTCCTTTGAAAAAAGTTTGGACACCCCTGTATTAACCTGTTATTTTTTTGGAAGCATAATAAAAATGTTAAGTTTTTTTTATCAAGAATATAATCATCATTATTAAAAATCAAATTTCTTTTTCACTATTTTTTAATCCTTGTTAAAAAAAATCTGAGATTCTAGATTAAGAGAATTTTGATAATGTTGAATTTATCTCTCCTAGTTTAAAAGGTGGTTGCAATTCTTAGTCATAAAAACTTTTCAAGTGTTAGAATGATCTCAATAAATTAAAATTTTAACAACCAAATACTTATCTTTACTTGATCTAAGCTATACACAAAAATGTTTATTTTTCCATAAAAAATTAATAAATATGAAAATAATAAATTAACTATAATATTTTGTATAAAAAATAATTCATTAATGTAATATGCATAGAAATAATGTTTTTAAGGTAACACATTGAATTATAGTGATTAGGATATTTTTATTTATATTGACAATTTAATTATCTTAATGACTAGTTACTAGTAGGCTTCAAAGAAATCTTGCAAGAGAACCTCCTTTTTTTTTTTCATATTTTCTATACATCAGTTTTAGCAGGATCTACTGTAATGAGTTGGTCGGTAAACTTGACACCCCCAAAGCGAGTGGAGGTGGGCAGGCATGGGAACTGTGATTGGTAGCTGGCTTGTTGGTGTTTTGCATAGGCAAGTTACCAAGCTCTATGTAAAGGGCTGGAATGAGAAGGAGGACAGTTTTTTTTTGTCTCAGAAGTGGAGACTGTGCTTGTCGCTACGACAGCAGGAGAGAAACTGACGAAATCATTTATTTTTTCCTGACACATTCCAACACAAGCTATTTTGGCATTTACTTTGTCTCTAGCAAGATGGCGGAAAGACTGTTCGACATAAACCTGTTCTCTGAATTCAGTGGTGATATGAGTGGATAGTCTGTAGTTGAATGGATTGAAAATGTGAAACTGGTCTGCGAATTATGCGAGATCACAAAGATTGAACGGATTCTTCCACTGCACTTGAAAGTTGGTGCCCTTGCTATGCTGAGCAAAGAACAGAAAAGTGACATCGAGCAAATAAAGCGCACTCTACTAACTGCATTTGGAACTGACCGGTTCGTGGCCTATGACCAATTCCAGGTGTGGTGTCTGCGACCTGGTGAGACAGTAGATGTATATTAAAGAAGCTCGCCATACCGATTGCACCGCTTCCTGAAGAATGGATGACCTGTGCCTTCGTGTCTGGATTGTCTAGTCATGTTAAGCAGATACTCAGTGCATCATCCAAAATGGAAGACATGACGCTCAATCAATTGTTGACCAGAGCCCATGCTATCATGATCAACGAAAAAGAGGCTGATGAACCAGTGGCTGCAGTCATTCAGCCAATTGAAGTCAAAGAGGATCCAACCTCAGCAATCCGTCGCCATGGTGATGTCACCTGCTATCGGTGCTCTGGGCCAAATCATTTTGCCAAAGACTGCCGCTATCAACACAAAGAAATGCGCAGCGGGTCAGCACAAAACGCACATCTCGATCTACAATGTTTCCAATGTCATAAAGTAGGTCACATTGCCTCTAAGTGTCCAGGAAATGGAATGAGGGACATGACATCAGCCGGTCTCTTCCACACACCGAGCATGAAAGAGGCGCTCCCTGTGATTAAGGTGCACATCAATGCAATAACGCGTACTGCTTTAGTAGATTCGGGCTGCTCTCGGTCAATATCAAGTCACTTTTCATTATAAAATATATATTTATTTGCAAATACCAATTATCAGTAAGTTAAAATAATATGACTCTGTGACTTATAGAGAAGTACAGACAGAAAGTGTTCTTCCTTGCATATTTTTTCTTTCTCTACTTTGTAATGAACTACCGCAGAGGGCAAGGAGGCCCAGAGTTGCAGGTATTTTTTTTTTTTTTTTTTTTTTTTTTGCAACGCTAGAATAAAATAAGTTACTTCCAGTGTCAATGATACATAAAAACGGGAAGAACGAGGCGACGAGCAAGAAGGAAAAAAAGATGGTTGAGCTGGCTACACGTGTCAAGGACGAAAGAGAAGAAACTGATTGTAGGCTTGATTGCGAGAAAAAGTTTAAAGCTTTTTTTGCGACATACTTTTTTAAGAGAAAAAAAAAGAGATTGAGAGTTATCTCCCTTGAACTGATACCTTTATTGCCTATGTGCGTTGTGGTGTAATGGATAACAGCTCGGAATGAGAAATCGGAGAGACGAGTTCGAATTCTAATCGGGTTCGTTACATTCACTTACAAAAGGTGTGAATCCACTTTTTCTCCCCCACCCCAGCTATTGGGTGGCAACCAGTCTACCATAGAAAGAAACGGCAACCTACTTCGAGAAAATCTTTTAGTTTTACCGTACGGTACCTATCAGTTTTGTTTTAATATGAATCGAGACATGTTCGCCTAAGCGTGTGTAACATGGATGTAATTAAAAATTATTTGTAATCCCGTGGCTGATTTGACTGAATATTACTTTATTCTCCAAGTTAGAGCATTTTTAATGGTATTATTGTGCTGTGATGTGTTTTTCACGTAACAAATACGCGAAAATCAGATTACCTTGCTTAATTCTGATAATCTATCTTGTCATATAATGTAAATTCTACATATAAAAAGCATTTGAAGAAAAAGTTAATATTTTCTGTGAATCATAATTTATTAAATGAAATGTAAACCATATCAAATAAACTTTTTCATCACGTCATACATGCATTTTAAATAAAGACATCTAGAGTTACTTCCCTTACATTTTCTCATATGCATTTGAAAATTCGTTTCTACTTTCTAAAATTGATTTGTTTTATTTCTTTCACTTTTTGTATAGGTTTATCCAACGTCCATGCGAGCTATTGGCCTAGGAGCCTGCAGTGCAATGGCCCGTATTGGTGCAATAATAACTCCATTTGTTTCTCAGGTATTTTTATAGCTAGGAATAGCTGTTTTGTATCAAAATATTTTGAGTGGATATATTATTTTGATTTGTAAGTTAATTTAAAGAAGTGTTCTTTCTTTGTTAATTCATATATTTGATTAAGTCACTCGCCTGTGGAACTCTTTTCCTGCTTATTGCTTTCCTGTTAACTACAATCTTCAAAAATTTGAATCCAATGTCAATTGTTGTCTTCTGTCTCCTCCTGTCATCCTCAGTACTATTTTCTCAGTTTCCTTACTGTTACATCTTAGTGGCTTCGTCTCCTTGCTTAGGTTGATTATCAGAAAATATATTCAGTTTATATATATATAGGAATTATAGATATGAATTCAAACGGCTGCACATTTCCATTCTGTTACCTAGACAGAAAGAGAAATTATCCCTTGCAACATAAGTAGTCATTTCAATTTCATTAAAATTGTGTGTATATAAGTTTGTGTCTATATATGTATATTTTAATTCAATAGTGAATCTAAAAATATTTCTACAAAATTTAAAAAGAGAAAATTCTGTTTATTACAGAGTAATTTCTAGAAATATAAAAATCTTATAACTATTTTTTGTTGTTGTTGTTTTTTTTTTGTTTTTTTTCTTCAAGATTCAAAAATTTAAGTGTTTTACTTTTCTCCAACTTATGATTTTATTGCTAAGCTCAGTATAGCAGTTATTCAGACTGAATGTGAGAGGAATGTATTGTTCCAGTGTCTTACTTCAAATTGTGTGTATGTGTGTGGACTGGGGACTTTTTTTTAATCACCCTCTTATACATCTTTCTTTAGATATACAATCCATAAAGAAGAGAAATAATGGTGAACAGAAAAGTAAAAAGTATGTGTGTGGACTGGGGACTTTTTTTTAATCACCCTCTTATACATCTTTCTTTAGATATACAATCCATAAAGAAGAGAAATAATGGTGAACCAAAGTATGTGTGTGGACTGGGGACTTTTTTTTAATCACCCTCTTATACATCTTTCTTTAGATATACAATCCATAAAGAAGAGAACTTCAAAAATAATGGTGAACAGAAAAGTAAAAAGGTGGCAAATATATCAACCAGCTCATTGCATTCTCACAATGTGCATCATCCACTTCTTTTGTAGCAACATGAATAATGTAGCCAGTAGTTCATTCAAGCAACTGTTGGAATGAATACCTAATTATACAAAAATACTGATGAATTGTTTGCAAAGTATGGATAGAATTTATCAGAAATACTATACTATGGTGTTTACTATAATTGCCTGTATAAATGACAAAAATATACTCATTAATCTCGCTCATCAAAAGTCAATATGAACAACTGAATAATGGCTATTGGGATTTATATGCCTTTCTGTGAGTTGCAAACATAATAAAAACATAAAGTTTAATGTGGATAGAAGTAAAAATTGCCCAGTCTCCATGGCCTCCCATTTATGACAATAGAGTTGCCCCCACAAAATTTCCAGGGATAAAGTATAACTGCTTCACATTTATGTCCTATGTTTACCAAAGAACCAGTTGGTATTAGAAAAGCAGTATGATTTCTGAACTTCTATTATTAACAATAATCTTTATGCACAAAATATAGTATAATGATTCACCACTTCACATGGGGGTTTAGAAATTAGGTCACAGCCCATAAAGTTATCTGGTCACCTCACTTCGGAGTCAAAAAGTTCAGAGCCAGGTGAGGGAAAATGCACAAGATATCTTAAGGTGCATGTAGAGATTTATTTGAGAGGGAGAAAAAAAGCACAAGATTTGAATGTGGGGAACATTATTTGGCTGAGCAGCAAGAAAAAAAATGAAAATGAGGATGGTGGGAATTAACACTGGTCTATTCCAATGTTGAAGGAGACAAAAGTTTAGTTGCTTTTCATCTTTTGAAAATAGATGTAAATTTATGAGCAGGAAATGAAGAATGTATATGCTAGAATCAACAGGAAGAAGCAGCAAGGAACTAAGCAGCAGAATTCAAGAGTGGACAAAAAAAAAAAACAAAAACACAGTAATGGTTGTATTTAAAAAAAAAAAAGCATCAGTAACAGTGAGAGATGGTAAATAAAAGTTGTTCATTTTCTACAAAAAAGAGCTTTAATTTGTTGCAAAGAATTCTCTCAGAAAACCAAAATTTGTTTTCTTCTTCATTTGAGATGTTTGAATCCTCTATTGTATTTATATGTATATACAAAGAGATGCTGGAAAGTTCTTAGCCCAATTAAAAACCCTTCAAAAAGCAAAGAATGTTATGTTTGATCAGATTTGGAGAACTGGGTAGCATCCCAAACACAAGTATAGCAGTTCTCCACAAACAGAACAGAATAAAAGCAATTTATTTATCCAAGACTAGAATGAATACCATCAATGTGACCCAGCAGCAGCTAAAAAAAAAAGGAACCTGAACCTTCAACTCATTTTAGAGTATATGCTTTCTTCTTTGCGTATCCTATTCACCTCACTTCTTTAGCCCTTTCCACACATATGTTACACTTTACTATTTTTTTCCATCTCATTTTCATTGCTTTTTAACTCAACACTGGTTCTTTTTACATTACCAGCAAATGTCATTCATATTTAATATTATAGCTAATTTTCATTGTCCAATTTTTACTCCATGCTATATTGTTTGTGCCTAATAAACGTAAAGGATAATAGTTTTAAGATGTCCAAATTTCTTAGATTAAACTTTTTCATTATTGACTTTTTACTATCTTTTATACCTAGTAGTAATTGTTAGCTATTTCACATTTCCAAGTATTTCATTTCCATGTTATACTCATTCTTTCTCAATTCCTGTGTCTATGCCTTTGATGACTGGCAATATCAATCCTTGCATGGAATATTCATCCACATAGGTTACACCTGACAACTGGAGTTGATCTGAGTTGGATTCTCCCTCTGCTGTTTTCTGTTTCTATGTCATCCTTGTTTGAAAAAAATGACCTGTCAAAGTACATATAATAGAATTAAGCTACCTAAATTTCTTACATGAAGCATTATTATTAATTTTTACTATTTTTATCATCTTATTTTTGTTATTTTTAGTGATAAAAATAACAAAAATAAGATGATAAAAATAGTAAAAAAATTAATATTAATAATAATGCTTCATGTAAGAAATTTAGGTAACTTAATCCAACTCAGATCAACTCCAAAAAATAAGATGATAAAAGTGACAAGGTTGTTTTTAGATTATATCATTATTAAATAAGCAGTATTTCTGATCCATGCAACTTATAATCATAGGATGTAAAAACATGAGAATTGTAATAAAAAGCAACAAAAATCAGATGAAAAAAGTAGTAAAAATGAATAATAATGATAATACTTGATGTAAGAAATTAACATAACTTTAAGACTATTGCTTTTGTTACTACTAGGTATTTAAAAAAGACAAGAAAATAGAATATAAAGAAAAACTAATAAAAATACTTAATGATGAAATTATTACTTATGTTTGAAAGGATTTGGTTCTTTTTCTTACAGGTTCTCCTAAAAATATCTGGTCACCTTGCTGTGAGCATCTATGGTGTATTAGGTCTTCTGGGAGGTTTGGCTGCATTCTTGTTGCCTATAGAAACCAAAGGAAGGGAAATGACGGTATGTCAACATTGTATTTACTTGCTTTTTTTATATATATATATATATATATATATATATATATATATATATATATATATATATATATAAAAGATAAAGAACAAATAGAAAACATTTAACAATCTAACATGTTTCACTTTTATTAAAGTTTCATTGGAGATTGAGAAAGAAGTGAAAAAAAAGACAGAAATTCTGGTATTTTCAATTTGGAGTGGTTTGACATTCATTGGACCATCATGTATGACATATTATAACCATAGATTATTCTGTATGTAAGTTTGTAAAAATTCTAATTCGTCTATGCGGGCATTGGATGATAATGTGTATTCATAATTGTGTATGTCTAGTGGGAGAAGTTCTGATGTTTTCACTTCTGTGAAGATTGATTCTGATTGGTCAGTTGTATATCTCCAGTAGACAGCATGTTGATGTTGTGTGTTGACATGGGAATGTTTTTTATGTATGTACTGAATGTATTAGTGTTGTATCCTCAAAGAGGTTACAAACAGACAAAGGTGGTACTCAAGGAACAGCAACATGCACATAGATGAAAGAAAGAGAGGTTTATTGTAAAAGAGAATACACTACTGAAAGGAATCAGGTGACAGGCAGGTAATTCCCAAAGCAAGTTTATTTACCTTATCTCCCTACAAGGCAGGATATGGCAAAAGGCCGTTTTTTAATGCAGGGCAAAACTGAGCCCATAGGCTCGGGTAAAAATTCCCAATAGACCCTGTATATACAGTGTCAGGTAGCTGTCTATCACCCTTCAGCATAGCCTTGTCTGGGTTCCTCTCTGCCTGAAGGCAGAGAGTTTGACCAGCACAGCTGGAGACGAATCGCCAACTAATTGCTAAAGCAAGCCCCCAGGTATATCCTGTGCTCTCTATATATAGCTACTGATATAGACAGTCCACATAGGTGATAGGGAGTGCAGGACATTCCATTACAACAATTAGGTAGGCATTAAATCTTGTGTGTCCATTAGTAGTGTTCAATGAAAGTATTACAATACTATTTGAGTACATACATAAAAACATTTCCATATTAAAAAATCATATTGATGGTCAAGAAAATGCAAAGATCCAGTTAGAGAAACCATAAAAATGTTTCTAGAAACATCATTATTCTCTATTTGATAACAATTTCTATCATAAAACTATATGAAATTATGCCATAATTCTTTCTTTATCCAGCATTTAGCAGAGATGGTTTGTATTAACTGAGCCCCCTCACCCTACAGGCAGGACTTGAGGCTAGTTTCTACAAAAGGTTTAAATAGAGCCTTTCGCATCAATAAGAAATCATGGATTTGATTGGGCCCTACCTTTTGTTATAAACACGCGTATGGTAGCATGGCAGAACAAACAAAATAACAATACTACCAGCGAAAAGAAAAGAAGACAAAAATTATAAAAATATAAAATTCCTTATTTGCTAATACAGTGGATGTGAGCACAATGTCTCTGTGTGGGTGAAGTGTGGTGATTTTTGAATGTAGGTTGAGTTGGTAAGCCCTGGAGTCAATGCATTTAGTGGGTTGGTTGACTGAGGTCATGGTGGAGACATTGAGAGTGGATTAGTGGAGCTGCAAATCTGATATTGCCAATACAGAGGATGTGAGCAGAATGTCTTTATGTGAAAATGGAGTGGGTGTTTGGAGGAGGGTGGGTCTCAAATGGATGTGTGTTTCTTGTTAGTTGACTAAATCCTGGTGGTAATGTTGATCACCAGATATTCACAGCTGGCCTGTTGGCCACATTCTGTTCCACTCATTTATAAACAGCTTTCTTAAAAGCAAATCTAGTGGCTCCTCTGATCATCTTTTTTTCTTTTATGGCAACATTCATGATTGGCTTCTTTTTTATTATACATTTTTGCAAACCAGATGTTATGTTTGAAAACCCTGCACAGAAGACTACTTTTTATTTGGTGTTTTGCTTTCTTGGCACTCAGATTCAGCAGAGTATAACACTTTATTTGATCATGAACTTTTTGATTGCATTTAATTTAAATAGCTCATATGATTTCACAGAAGACTTAAGTACCTACATTTTTGGAAATTTAGATTGGAGAACAATTTGTCCTAGAAGGCTACCATCACTATTGGGTGATATCATTTTTTTTAGTTCTCACTATTGCCACCATATATAGTGGTGGTGAGAAGGAAAGAATTAACTTAGAAAAACAAGAGATTGGTTTGAATTAGTAACAATAAAATAATTGAAGTTTATTTCTAAGCTGGATTTTTATTGCAGCAGTAAACACTCATATAAAAGCAAATTTTTATGAAGACTTAGAAATTATTAAACATCACTAAGAGTTTAACATTTATGGCTGCTTGGTGAATATTACTCTTATTATAAATATAAAGACATGATTTTTGTTTTAAGTTTGCCTTTCTGGTGGCAAGAAAGAGAGTCATAGAAAATTTTAATTTAGATGTCCACTATTTATAATCAAACAAAAAAAAGATAAAAAATTTCAATTTAGCTAAAATGACAGACACAAAGTAAAAACCTAGTTTAGCATTATACTATATTTACTTTAGAACTCAAAATACCTTACTTAAACCTTAAAAAGTTTTGGAATTTAAAATAAAAATGATCAGACTTTAGGATACCATTAGTAAGTACAGGAAATTTGGTGGTCATAGCTCTAGGCAACCTTTAGTTGTGTAATGAAAGACAAACGGACAGATAAAGAGATCTCAAATTATATATAGTATGATGCAATTACAAATCATTCCTAAAAAATTTTAAAAAGTAAACGCTGTTGTGTTCATTATTGTTGGTTTGTATTTAACCTACAAGATGTTACTCAAACCTTCAGCGAATTTAATGATGAAAAAAGAAAATTACTTTCTCTAGCACTTAGTCTCCACAGATTCCTTTGATAAATCCTCTCAGGCATGCATACAGTAAGTAATCTTACAAAGGATATAGCAAGAATCCATACTGTATTCAGTTTACACAAGTTGTTAAAATAACCAAACTTTAGTAAATTTGAAATCATGTGCATTTGGACAGTAAGAACAGGAGAAAGAAATTCTTCTCTTGCAATTTAATTTTAATTATGGCTTGAAATTTATTTATGAGAGAGCGCTAAAATGTTCTTGCTCCAGCCAAGAAACCCTTTCAAAAACTCGGATGCTTGGTTAAATTTTTTGAAGTGTGTTGTACAAATAACTTTTCAGTACATCAATAAATCTATAGCCTAATTTCTAAAAAAAATAGCATTTAATTTACACAACAAATGCTTATTTCAACATAACCACTTTATTTTTTTTGTTTTAATGCATTTAATTCAGTGATGAATAGTACTTACATAGTGAATATTATACAATGAAAATTTAAGATAAAAATTCAGCTAATTACTTATACAGTCTTATTGATGTACCCTTGTATATATTTTTAGCTATGAGCTATTTTCAATATCAATTTTTGAATAGTATTTCTACTATTCAAAAATTAATAATTGATAATGTTCTATATAAAAAAAGGTAATCAAAGGCTAGCATATCTAATACTATGTTATTTTTCACTTTAATTAGCAAGAGATAATTTATGGTTTAAATTATAGCAATTTTTTTCTATTTTACTTGCCTGTGTACCTCCTTTTTTAATATTTGGAAAATTCTTCAGATGTCTTCATAAGGAAAATTTTAATTTAGAAATGGGGGATTATATGAGTGGTAGAGCCAATGCATATTTGCATGATTTCTCAAAATCTACCAAAGAAATAAAGTCCTTTCATAATTGGTGGATTTAGAGCAATGACCATGAAAACCATTTTGTTTAAGCTAACCTCTGCCAGACTTACTCTCTGTGGCAAGGCACCTCAAGTCTTGAGGTATAATAAATGTTTACTGTTATAATTAATTATTTTAACATTTTCCTCTGTACTAATCACATCAATTTGTTCCCTGATATTTATTTTATTTATAACTATTTATTTTTAATTTTATTAACTGCTAAATTTCAAAATAATCACAATGTTTCTGAGTAGCAAAGCTTTCATCGTAATGATTTTTCTTTAATTTTCTAATTGTCTTGATGCCTTCATTGAACAAAACATTGACAACAAAGTAAACAAATAAAAAATATTAAATATCCATCTGGTTTTCACATATATCATCTTATTTTTTTCTATGTTTCATGGCTCTCCACAACTTCCTACCCATTGTAACTCTTACTAACATTTGTTTTGTTTTTTTTTTTTTACCATCCCTCTCTTCCCATCCTTCCCTAAATTTTAGCATTTGGTTTGTGTGCTGAGCATTGAAAATCAGAAAGAAAGGAATTGTCAGTAATCAGGAATTAATGTAATTACTGACAAAATATTACATTTTTACACAATGCTATGTTTCTGAATTTCTAGGCCTTTTAAGAGAAGGCTGACATCTTCAGTCTGGGACAATCATCTGCCTAGGAAATGAAAACTCAAATAAAATCCTATAACTTGCTGTTATCATTACACCTTGATAGTCCATAGCAAGTAAACCTCCATTTTAATGTGTGCAGTCAGTCATGCAAATACCATATTCCCCATTAAAATCATGCAGGCCTCGAGGTTTTTCACTTATTTCATCCCACAACAATTGGAGTTAGGTGAAAACATCAAATGTAAGATGACAGTCTCAATCATGTATGCAGGCTGCACAAACTGGAATTACTTCTAGTGTTCAGATTTTCACCTGCAACTACTGTAGAAATTTCCTGACTCATACAGGCCTCATCAGTAGACTTGCAAAAGACATAGAATGCCCTCTGAAATATTCATTCATGAAACCAAACTGTTAATCATTTGTGTCAAGTGGCATTATTCCTTCAGTTACCCAGGTGGGTGCTGAAAAGTTCTCAGCTCAATCAAGAAATTTTTGTAAAAAAAAATAAGATTTTGGAAAGTGTCAGGCCAAGAATTTTTAAGCACACCCTGTATACATGTTTAAATGTATAATACTAGTATGAAAGATATCAGTAAGAAATTACAATAATATG